AAAAAATATAAGAAACATGCCATCGTTTTACACCATGATTCTCAACGTAGACACGTAAAATTAGCGCCTGGGATATTCACCCATAAATACTTTTGTTATCGAACTTGAGACCCCTTGCCCGGTAGTCGCACTTGCGCCCACACGGCCAACGAGGCAGTGTACATTAAACCCAAACGACGACTATACTAGATCTGAAACACATACCAAATCAATCTTAAAACATAATTTAAAATAATACGGAGCCAATCCCATAAGACTTCACTCTTAAAGAATTAATATGTTTCTAATAAAAACTAAAGGTAAAGCCACTTTCGTTTGATGTGGTTTTTTCCAGTCCGTCCACTTTCCCAAGCCCAGCTCGATGTGTCCACACATGGGCAGGGCAGGGAATGCTCTTCCGTGGTATTCGCATGGTAATATAGAAAGGTATGCTGGCTGTACTATAAGGAAGGAAGGAGTAAATTGATTGGGAATTTGTAGGTAATGTGAGCAAAGACTGGAATTTGTCTTTATAGTTGTCACTTGGTCAATTGTTGCGTTTTAGATTTTTGCGTTATTACAAATAAGTCACGCTAGCGTTGCGTTTCGTCGTTTGAGTGAGGGTTACCAGAGGCCTAATCCCCCCCCCCCCCCTTACTTCCATGAATCTCCATCAATCCTCAAGTTCTTTATCCCCGGTAACGCACTTGTAACGTCTTTGGTGTTTCAGGTGTCCATGGGCGGCGCCGATTGCTTACCATCAGGTGATCAGTCTGGTTTCCCGTCTTATAGCATAAACAACTCATAATTTGGGTTCACTTAACTCACAACGCGTTGGTAAAACCAGTAATTACATCATAATATTTACATTACATTTCATCCGAAAATAAACTATCAAATAACTGCGGTTACAAACGCAATATCGCAATACTATCTCATCTTACTTCGACCGCATTACATCTTACAAATATTATGTAACAATTAATACCGGCCATATTGTCGTAACAGGTCATTGAGTATCAAGTGCTCGATAGTTTAATATCAAATACATACTTCATTCTTGTACTATAAACGTTGCATAACGCATTCCTCAAATAAGTAAGTACAGTAACTTAGATGTGTAACTTATTGAACGGCATTTATGTGTATTTTATTTAAGTGAAATGGACAGTTATGTGATGCGCGTTTATGAAATTTTAATTCCCAGTCTCACTTGCGACCACTCGGCCAACACGGCCAACACGGCTTTACACTAAAAATTATAAAATAAAAACAACGTTTAGCAACCGAATTAAAAAAAAACAGCTACTTTTTTATATATTTATCATATTCACAGTAAGGGTAAGTAAGGGGGCTTACGCAGTAGCGGTTGACCACCTGCGGTTCGTATCAACAGACGCGGTTGCTCTAGCAGTTGCATATTAAATTGGAAAAGCGGTCAACCGCAGGGAGCGGCTAGCCGCGCGGTTTATCGCTAGTGCGTAAGGGGCTTAGTATAGGATTATCAATATACCAACCAAAATCCACAAAAAAAAAACAAAACATAAACAAAAAGTAGAAACTGAGAAGCAAAAAATAACTATTATTAGTACTGATTTTCATTTCATTTATTCATGAAACATTGTATCTGAATGGCTTTATGATCTAAAATTACATTGAATACTGAAACTGAATAATACATCGTATCAGTGCTGATGCTAAACTCTACCTACTCTTATAAATGAATATTATTGAGTTTGTTTTTTTATCACGTTTTTAGTGCATTGCACCCGAAATTTTACACACAGAAATTGAAACAACGCTTGCGTTTTGTTTCGTCGTATGAGTGAGGTTACCGGAGGCTCAATTACCCCCCTCCCTAGTCTCCGTCTCCCGAATCCCAGAATCCTCCACAATCCTCAAATTCCCAATTCCCAAAAGGCCGGTAGCACACTTGTAACGCCTTGGTGTTTCGAGTTTCCATGGGCGGCACCGAATGCGTGATCCGTCAGCTCGATTACCGGCTGCTATAAAAAAAATTCGCTTTCTAAATCTGAAAGCTTCTAGAGGAGAATTGAGAGATGACAAAACTGCTAGAATAGAGGAAATGGTGCTTTAGGAATACGAAGTCGTAAGAAAACGTCACTCAAATAGCTACCTAACTAGAATTGATGGCCTATCTATCGTTACATAAGCAACCAATACATAGTTGAAACTTTAATACATAGTCCAACATACATAGATTCATTACTAACTTCCCCGTACTCTATGTAAGTGGTAAATTATTTTGATTGATGGCTGGAAGTGATGTGGCTGTGGTGGCTCAATGGCGCATCGGCTCATTGATTCAAACATTAATTTATTGAGCTTGTTACTGCTTCCTATGTTAAGTGTTTTATTGTTAAGTGCCAATTTTTCCAACGCCGGATTAATTTTAACTGAGGAATAACTTTGAATGTTTTACAATTCTTCCATATTAAATGCTGTCAATTTTATTCCACATTAATTACTGATGATTGAAAAATCGGCCTTAAAAGTCTGTTTCTGTGTTACCTGGCTATATATTTAAATGTACCAAAAATCTATGACTTAAAATATCATATTCTAATATGAGCCTCTAACATGGCTTGAGTTCCTCGGCAAACAGTTCAGGTGGGTACAGTTCAAGTGTGGGAAAGCCATGCTTTGGCACGAATGGGCTGGCTCGACCGGAGTGATACGGACAGAAAACCGACGTGAAGCAACTTCGTCGTGTGAGTGAGGTTACGCAGAGGCCCAAATACCCCCCCTTTCAATCTCCCCAATTCCCATCATAATATCATATCGTAGAACGTGTCGCAGGTTCGCATGGAGCAACTCTTTGTGTAATCTACAAATTGTTGTTTCGGGTCTGGGTGTCACGTGTATGTGAACTTATTTATTTGTAAACGCACCCACGATACAGTGAAGTGGTGAAGTGAGAAAATCCTAGTGTGGGGCAAGGTCTTTTTTTTAAATAATAAAAGAAACAGGAATACGCGTGCAAAGCCATGTGTAAAAACTAGTCTAGAAATATATCTATAATACTCTTAGCAAATGTTATTACATAAAATATTAATATCAAAAAGTAAACATTGCTAAAACACTTTTAAATAAATGCAATTATTTATGCAATGCATATAGATATAGTATTTGTATACCAACTTATTACATAATATGTGGGCGAGATAAACAGCTACCAACTTCCGGCAGTGAAAGGCTTCGATACAACATGGCTGCTGTTTCCTGTTGGGACCTTAATAAAATGGGAGAACAAAACAAAAAGTTACATTTCTTTCATCTTATTTGTTTGTGTTTATTTATCAGTTCGAAATAATGTGAGTTAGGGATGTTGATGATGGTTTTATAAGCAGTATGCGTGACAACTGCGCATAACATCACATAACATCACGCCGTTTATCCCCGAAGGGGTAGGCAGAGGGGTACATTATGCCACTGTACAATGTAACACCCACTTTTTACCCGACACCCATTATTATATGACACTAGCTGTTGCTCCAGACTTTGTCCGCGTAGAATCTGAATATTAGGACATATCCTTTTTTTGTTAAAATTTTCCAAAATAGAAGTAGGTACTATATATTACTCTTCAGTAAATCAGCTACCTGCTATTAAAATCCCTGTCAAACCCCTTCTAGATCAGCCAGGACAATCAAAAAGACAAAAATTGTAAAAAAATCTTATTTTCGTATGTGTATCGTGTGCATGTAATAAAAAGCGATTATTTTAATATTACAAACAGACACTCCAATTTTATTTATCTATAGAGAACATTATACTTTTCAAACTCCGATAGTAGACGTGGATGAATTATTATTTTAGAAATTCTGAGTCAACCTAGGTGCTACAATACCTAGGTAAGTTTTACAAACCTATTCCTATAGTTTTTTTATGGGGGGAAAATCACCGAATGACTGCTCCCGCCTAGGTTAGGCGACTCCTATTGACTAAAAACCACCCCGTTCCTTCTCCTGCACGTCGAGCCGGAGCCCCGGTTACCCGTTAGGTTCTCCGCGACATTCCTATAGTTTAGGGCTCATACACAGGACTGCGATGCGATGCGAATTGCTGCGATGCGATTTCGTGCGACAAGGCGTCTCCGGTGACCATTCCTTCGACGACCGTCAACCGTACTAAACGTATTTTAAATTGAAAACTAGGTCATGACATGGATCGTAAAAAGAAGTATGCACTTCTGTTATTGCTTAGGAGATACAGGAAAAAGACACAAAGAAGATTTTGAAAAGATAAGATTTTGATGCGCGATGCGAATTAATTCGCAAGTTCTTGCGATGCGTCGTCTCATCGCAGTTTTGTGTACGAGCCCTAAAGTCTAGACTAGACTTTCTCCCAGGAAGACATTTAGACATTCCTCACTAAATGAAAGTCTCTGTAGTTCATTTTCATACAATGAATGAATGAAACCTGTTCTCATTCATTCTTTCACTAAGCAGGACCATTATATATACAGTGCTATTGATTATGTAAGGCTAGGCAGATGTATAGGTTTCAATTTCATAATTTCCTGTATCCGTTTTGCAGAGAAATTAAAGGCACTGTTTAGGTTTTATCTAGTTTTAACTAGCTGCTGCCATCTGCTTTGCCCGAGTTCCCTTGTAATAAAAAGTAGCCTGTGTGGTATTCCATAACATACATTACTTCTTCCTCATTTCTATCCCTTCAGCCGTTTTGAAATTATTAAGTTACAAACAACAACGTAAACACACAAACTCACGAAATTTAGCTTTTATAATATTAAGAGGAGCCGCGGTTGACTTAACGGGTAACCGGGGCTCCGGCTCGAAGTGCAGGAGAAGGAACGGGGTGGTTTTTAGTCAGTAAGAGTCTGACACTCCCTCCCGCCTAACCCAGGCGGGAGAAGTCATTCGATAATGTTCCCCTTTAAAAAAAATAAATCCTAAGCTAAGCAGGGGCTAATTCGGAATTTCCTGCCCGAAAGAAAATATTAATAAATTGTTCCTATTTAGTATGAATGTACTCACCGTATTTGCGTGTTGTGACCGAACTGATACTGCACAGATACAGAACGCCAACCACAACCGGACCCACTGCAAAATACAAAAAATACATTATTGACTGCAACATTATACAATATATAATTAAATACTGATTATTACAAAAAAGCGCAGGTTGCTCTCGTGAAAATTCTGAGAAAACCTCTACTGGTTTCGCGGCGATGTCGCGCAGCCTACTCTGCTCGATAATGATTTTTAGTTAATAAAAATAATTATTATACTGATAATTATACTGATAAACGGCTGACCGTTTTGACGTGATTGAGACAAACACAAACACTATTTAACTTTTTTAACAAGTAAATATTTTAAGAGTGCGCTATACACTTCTGCTTTCAGAAATATTAAATCACACTAACATTATAAATATGAAAGTTTCTTTGTTTGAATGTTCTGTCAATCACGCTGAAACTACTGGGCGGATTTTAATTAAATTTTAATATAGGGTAGGGCATGGGCTGACTTAGGTTATAGGATACTTTTTATCCCAATTAAATGCTCCCAAGGGATAAAACAGGAATCATTTTCTATGCGGACGATGGCGTGGGCAAAAGCTAGTTAAAGATAAATCTACAAACGCATCTTCATATTACAATTATGGTTCTGGCTTATACTAACTTTGTCAGTCTTGGCTAATTACATGGATCCAATTACCGTGGTGACAGTAATCAATCAGTCAATCAGTCATCAGTCAAGACGTATAAGTATGAACCTTGCACTTTTTCATATCAAGCCTATTCTATTGTTATACTATTTCTCTATGCTATTTCCCCTGCACACATGATTACATGGGTACTTTTGTCGGTCTATATAACAACTGTAAGAAATTAGCTTCCGTACAATTTCCATAGTTCTTATCTTTTTGAATAAAAGTGATGACATGTTGTCTATTTCAGAGCTGTACCACCACCGGCGCGACTGGTTGCGCTGCCATGGTGTCCCGGTGAAAAATAGCCCTTATTGTGTAGGTACTTAGGTAGGAATCTACTATAATGTATACTATAGTGTTAATAATGTTTATGGTGATCGATCAATGAAAAAGCGTATCCCGTACTTACTCAACCATTTGTCAAACGAAGTCAGGGAAGAGAAAAATGAAAATAAAATGAGACTAAATTAAAAAAATATGTGTTTAGTACACTACCATAACTATATGTATTTAAAATTAATCATAACCATCATAACATATCATAATAAATAGTAATTTAACTCGTCGAGTACCGTCATTATAGACACAATTATAGAACAATAGGTTGCGGTCACCGATGACCACTTGGTGTTTGACAGTTTAAATATAGAAGATGCAACAGTCAAACTATTTATATATAGTTTTGTTGGACATGGCGTTAGATTGTAAGGCATATCATGTAGCTTTATTATTAATAAATAAATAAATATTATATAAAACTCAAGATTTGGACATGTTTAGTCTTAGTTAAAATACACGTTAACATTTTGGTATAACATAAAAGCATAAACGATAAAATAATAAAGAATTATACCTTCCTAAAAAAATAATAAATTGTAAAAATATATCTTACCATATTGCTCGATGTTCTCCGTATCAAATATTTAGAGTCCTACTTGTCTTCTCTTGGAAACTGAAAACAAAGAAAATTTAAATTACTGATCGGATTGCTCGCAAAGAATTGTTCTTTGCAGAATTGTAACGCCTCTGGTGTTCCAGGTGTCCATCGGCGACGCCGATTGCTTACCATCAGGTGATCCGTGCTAGTTTACCGGATTATCCCATAAAAAAAAAGAAACCGCGACACGTTACACAGCAGCCAGTTGGTTGGTCACTGTACCATTATTTTGCACCTCTGCTTTCCCCTTCGGGGATAAAAAGCGTGATGTTATTATATTATACAGAATGTAAAAAGAAATAAAATGTGAAATAACATTTACCGTAAACATGCGACACAGGTAATCAGAACCATTTGTTATAGTTTGTAATGTTAAATGAATATTTAAGTGACTCTTTAGTCGAGTGGGGAATGGTCGTTAGAGCTAATCTGCCAAGCACGAGGCTCTTAATTCGATTAGTACCCAGTTACGTCGACAGCGGCATAATGTGCACCTACCTACCCCTTCGGGGATAAAAGCCGTGATGTTATATTATGGTATGTTAAGTAAAATTGGTTGTTTATTTCGACCTTTAGAACTACTTAAATAAACCTTTCACTGTCTGATCCCTTTAGAAAAGACATCTGTGAAGTTACATATTATTAAACATGAATTTCACGTATATAGAGCTGCTACAGTGTATACTGTGTACTGTACAGAGACAATGTGATACAATTTACTAAAACCTTGCTCTCACTACTTTCCAATCTAGAGATGGTTTAAGGGATAAGCAGAGTTGCAGGTATCTAGAATACGTGGCTGTATTATTGCGGAGAAAGATTAATGCTTTAGTTTTGTTTTAAGTATTTCATTGCTGAACTGCTTCGATAGTCGAGTGGTCGTACGACTGTCTTGTAAGGGGTCTTGGGTTCAATTCGTTGGTCAGGTATTGGAGAGTTTGATGATATTTTCAGTTTATAATGGTAAAACTATTTTCTGCCTCCGTTGCTCATTGGCCAAGTGGTCGCAAGTGCGACTGCCGGACAAGGGGTCTCGGGTTCGATTCCCGGGTCAGGCAAAGTATTATTTATTTTTTTATTTATTTAACACTTTTCTACAAATTTATACAATGGCGGACTTAATGCCGAATGGCATTCTCTACCAGTCAACCATAGGGTGATGCAGAGAAGTGTTACAGTAGGTTTTAAACGAAGTTTGCGGAAACGAGGGTGATAAATGTACGTACATATAAAGGTATCCCAGTACATAAACTACATACCAATACTACATACTGATATGAAACATAAATATAATATGTAAATAATTATAAATATACATATTACTGGGTTTTTAAAAAAAAATCACAGTAGTAGCACGGAGTCCGGCATTGTGCCCAGTATATGGCAATAGGCTCACCCCCCATTACATGGAAATCGTAACATAAATAGTGAAAAGTAGGTGTTACATTGTACAGTGGCATAATGTACACCTCTGCCTACCCCTTCGAGGATAAAAGGCGTGATGTTATGTTATGTAGGTATTTTGGAGTTAATATAAAAGCAACAGTCAATCTAGAACTTGAATGTTTTCCCAGTCACCTAGACCTAGACTACACAGAAGGATTTTTTATCGAAGGACCTTTATTATTTACTAGCCCGCCCCAGCTTCGAACGAGTGCAATACGCAGTGCCGGATTAAGCCAGCGCGGGGCCTGTAGCAAATTCTGTCTAGGGGCCCTTGGTTTGCTATCGGTTCTCATTTGGGCATTGACTAAATTTGGTGCCTTTCTTTTTTCTGGCGTCAGTCGATGATTTATGGAAGATATTGTCTGGAGTGATATCACAAACGAAATTGTCCCCATATACATATATGAAAGTGAGCCCATAGGGCTCATGTATGGAAATCTCAGTCTGGACTGAGTTATGAGCGTTGAAAGGAGCTGAAGTCAAACATTTTACTTTGGTTTTTTTTATTCAAATCTTATATCTTATACCATTATCTTATATACTATTATATAAAGCGGAAGAGTTTGTTTGTTTGTTTGTTTGAATAACTAATCTAATCTCCGTAACTACAAGTCTGATTTGAATAATTCTTTTTGTGTTGGATAGTGCATTTATCGAGGATGGCTATACGCTATAAAACATCACGCTACGACCAATAGGAGCCGAGCAGAGCGTGTGAAACCGCGCGGAAGTAGCTAGTTATTCATATTTTTGTCACAATTCCCAACTTTAAATTGCACGCAACTGTACGTCGGGCGCAGGAATACCATATCACACCACAATATATTCATATTGCCAGGCACTAATTTTTATTACCTATTTTCTCTCAGTCGATAACTTGTGGGATGCTTCTAGGAGTTGTGTCATGAAGCTTCATGAGCGTCAGCTATGTTACCAGTGGTGGGTTGAGCGGTGGTAGCCGTGCGAACATCTAATAAAGTGTATTTTGTTTTGCCATTGACTCCTGGTGGGAGACTCATCTACTTTATAGTTCGCATAATCTTTTGTAGAAAGGAAACCGTCGACTTTGTAAAGTGATATACGTCAGATGAGCGTATATTTTTTTTTTTCATATAATGTGATCAGTCGAAATATAGTCCATCACTTTGTGACTGAATGACGATATCTTTGTACAGAATCTTATGCTAGCTCTAGATTAGAGTATTAACTGTAGTTAAATAAAACTAATCGGGAGTAGGTCGGGAGAAGTAGACAGAAAAAAAATTTTTTCGTGTTTCGACGATTGCCACTACTCAATGCGCTACCGACGCCGCAGCTGACAAACATAGCATTTCGTGATAGGGCTCAGTAAAGTATTTTGCGGGTTTTCGACTGAGAGGGTATTGAAACTTACATGAAAATCTGTCATAGGCCATAAACCGTATACATAGGTATAAAGTGAACACGCTAGCCAAGCAATCGAAATGTTTTTTTTTTTACTTGTGTAGTGGCCAGTTAAAGACTCTGTTATGATTCCGTGGCCTTATAAAAACAAGTGCGAGTCGGACTCGCGCACCGAGGGTTCCGTACAAACCTGCAAGGTTTACAAAGTTCGTTCATTACGACATATTTTGTAATGTAACTAAAAATTTAAGGTTTTCGGAATTTTTCCTTTATGTGTGCTATAAAACGTTGCTTCATGCCAAATTTCAAGATTCTAGGTCGACTGGAAGTACCCTTTAGGTTTTGATTCCCTTGCGAGTACTTGCGAGTTTCAAAATATGCAGCTTAAATTGCTGTTTCTTTTGATTGCGTTGACATAGAAGTTTGATTTTGTTACAGCTTAAAGGTATTATAGACCTGAGTATTTGGTATGAATTTCAATTTAATACCTCTACGCGTTTATGAGGAAATGGGTAGTAAGTTTAAAATTATTAAAAAAATATATATTATGTGATGTAACTAAAAATTTATGGTTTTCGTAATTTTTCCTTTATCTATGCTATAAGACGTTGCTTCGTACCAAATTTCAAGATTCTGAGTTCACGGGAAGCACCCTGTAGGTTTTGATTCCCTTGCAAGTGTCGAAAATTTGCGGCATAAACGGCTGTATCTTTTGATTGCGTTGGCTTAGAAGTTTGATTTTTTCACAGCTTCAAGGGACAGTAGACCTGAGTAATTGATATAAATTGATATAAGCTTCATACCTCCACGCGTTCCTGAGAAAAAGAGTCTTGACAGACGGACGGACGGACGGACAGACGGACAACAAAGTGATCCTATAAGGGTTCCGTTTTTTCCTTTTGAGGTACGGAACCCTAAAAAGAAGTCCACTATAAGCTTTACTATATTCCTTGAAATCGTTTATAAACATTTATTACAAAATATTTCTGACAAGTAAATGAAGAAATATGCGTTGTGTACGGTCACCATCAACAAAATAACAGGAATAATATAGCACTATTTTCACATCTTTGAACTGATTTAACTCGGTTTGGACTGTGTTTTTGATATAAGACCCCATATATTTTTTTGTTTGTAATGTTATTCTGCATCAGTTTTTACACATCCAATAAACTGCCGCGAAAAATAAAAAGGCACCACGCTCCATACAAATTTGGTCATTGTCATTTAGGGTATTATTACATAAAACAAAACTGTTACAAATAAACTTTTCTGGATTTGTTATGGGCAAATTTAGCGATTACACTTTCAATATCGACTTCTTTAAGCAAGTCATGCTCTATATTCAACATTGTGAAATGATTAAGACGTCCTTGGCCCATAGTGTTCCTTAATTAATTCATTTTTGATTCGTTCAAATCGGGCTCGGTTCACCCGCCAATGGCACCAACCAAGCGAACAAATAGTCACTTTCCTTTTCTTACACATACAAAATACCGACTATTTGTCTTTTTTCGTTAATTTCGTTAAGAAAAAAAATGAAATTACATGTAGGTTGGTAGTAGTTTTGTAAACAAAACATTTTCTTCATAAGTCTTGCTGTTGAAGTGGTGTTATTACGAAATACCTATTTGAGCGCGGGGCCCCCCAATCCGCGGGGCCCGTAGCATTTGCTACTCTTGCTACGTGGCTAATCCGGCACTGGCAATACGCATGTATTAAACATATAAACCTTCCTTAAGAATCACTCTATCTTTAAAAAAAACCGCATCAAAATCCGTTGCGTAGTTTTAAAGATCTAAGCATACATAGGGACAGACAGACGGCGGACAGCGACTTTGTTTTATACTATGTAGTGATTTATTTATTAACTCCTAAATGTACACAATAATAAGGTACATAAAGCATACTTAATGTCATATGGCATATTCTCCCAGTCAACCACTAATTGGCTATAACTATCGTATCACTAGTTCGCTATATTTTCATGACTTATAACGCAGTATAAATGCTTTTACTAGACAGTCCCTTGGCGCAGGTGCGACAGTTGCCAGCCCACATTCACTGCTACCGACATACTATAATATATATGTAGGGCTCTACCCTATATGTTAGTTGTACCTACTTGTATTTACTATCTTATCCGACTTAGGGCTGATTTCTCAATCATCAGTTAATTCTTAACAGTTAAATAAAATTTACATTTAAGTTTTCCGACTTAGGGCTGATTTCTCAATCATCAGTTAATTTGTAACAGTTAAATAAAATTTACATTTAAGTTTTTAGTATGGAAGAATTGTCAAATATTCAAAAATATTCCTCAGTCATAATTTATATAGCATTGGAAAATCGGCCCTAAGATATACCTCTATATTAAGTTTTATAGCACTTTGTTAGAGCAAAAATATAAAAAAAACTACAGCTAAAAAAACTACAGTGAACACGTTTTTTTTAAAGGGAGAAAATCATCGAATGACTTCTCCCGCCTAGGTGATGCGGGAGGAAGTGTCAGACTCTTACTGAATAAAAACACCCCGTTCCTACTCCTGCCCTTCGAGCTGGAGTCCCGGCAATCCGTTAAGTCCTCCGCAGCTCTGTATCGGCATCAGCCCCATCTATTGAGGCGAGCGTGGACCACTTGAGCTTTTCTCACCACGCTTGCTCAATACGCGTTAATTTCAAAATAATTAGATAATCTCTAAGCCCAGATTTCGATGTTTTCTTTCATATTTTGTCAGTGGTGTCTGAATAATCTTAGAAAGTAATATAATATCTCGGTAAAAGTCACATTGGTACTTGCCGTTGGTAGGTTTCGAATCTGGACCCTCATGCATGAGAAGTGGGCGTCTTAAACCTCCAGGCCACTACGACTAGTTTACAAATAATGAAGTGTAAATGACTCAATGAATTCAGTCTAATTGCTCAATAAATTGTGAAGACGTTGATAACTTGGATATAATTGTCTCATTGTTATGTGAACATGACAGTTATGGTCTTATTATGGTCCTAACGTCTATTGGACACGATATGGTCAATGTTCTAGAAGTTATGTAGTTTTTAGAATGTTATTAATGCTTTTTATCTTTGGAGGATGGGTAGACGTTTCATGATGCAGTTTTCTCACTAAAATCTACATTCGTTAAGGCAATGTAATAGAAAATATATTATAGAAGGTTAATGTAAGTTTTGTTAAATATTTTAAGGGAATAATGGATCTAGGTCCTTACTCTTGAAACCAATTTCAATGCAATTTCAATTCAATAAAATCTCAATAATTATTCAATGTCAACACTATACAACCACAATCGTAGCTGTTAAAATAGCATTCAGAGTACGGAATACAAAGCCAAACTCAATAGCATTTAGTTCATTCGATAGCCACGCAATACGGATGTAATGGGCGCTAGTGTTTAACACGAGAATATGAAATTTCATAATACCAATGTCGATCGATCGGAATGGGGTTCAAGAGTACCCTAAATTAATACAGATAATAAAAAATGTGTGTTAACTATATAACACAACATAATGTCACGGCTTTTAATCACTGAAAGGATAGGCAGGACCCATATAGACACATAGAACTCATAGCAATTGCACTTGCGAAAATTTGACCAGTGGGGGCAATATATTTTATAGATACCATCATAAATAACGTTGGCAACGAAACAGTAAAGATTTATAACAAATTTCCTTTCCTATTTATCTTTTCTTTACAATCAGAACGAAACATAAATAAATAACTAAAACGTCGAAGTTATCGGTTTATGTCAAACATAGATAAGAACTGTTAATTATGAGAAATGTTATGATTGGAGATTATCGTCTTGTTATTTATAGATTGTTATTTTTAGCATTTTCTTACTTATTGGCGTCAATACGATTGAGTGCCTCGATGGCCTGTGGTCGCAAATACGACTGCCGGGCAAGAGGTCTCTGAGAGAGAGAATCTAACCCAGATTACGGGATCAGGCAGAGATTTATTTAAAAAAAAAAATCTCATTCTCGCACGGACTATGGAATTGTGGTAAATGGCAATAGGCTAACCCCCTTTTACATGGGACTCATAACATTAATAGTGAAAAGTAGATGTTAATACATTGTACCTCTACAGTGGCATTAAGTTCCGTAATGTGCACCTCTGCCTACTCCTTCGAGGATAAAAGGCGTGATGTTATGTTAATTAGGATCATCGCGCCAAGAATTCTTATATCAAACGAATTTGCGGTATAATGTGTATGCTCATCGCTTATTTTTATTTTTTTTAGGGGGGAAAATCATCGAACGACTTGAGAGAGTGTCAGACTCTTACTGACTAAAAACCACCCCGTTCCTACTCCTGCCCTTCAAGCGCCGGTACCCCGCTAGGTTCTGGTTTCCTGTTACATAGCTGGCGTATAGATTATAACGCATACGTTTCAGGAAAGGAAAACCAAGATTATGTTATTAATAACAATAAAAATAAAACATAAGACATTAAACTTACATAACTGAGAAAGTTAACTTAACTATCGAATATTAAAGTTATTTCTAAGTAGCATTATACTTAAGTTACTCCAAGTTAATTAAGTTGGCTAATAAAGCGTTAATGGAGGAACTAGTCGGTTTATTGCTTAATTCATTACCTATGTAAGTATGGGATTGCGCTGCGTAACTTATCATTACGCTTTGTAGTCACCGACGGGAGAGACAGAGTTACTTATCTAGAGAACGCGTTGCAAGCACCTCATAATAATATTTGATGTCCATTACATTTAGATTAAAGTTGTCTTAAGGGCCTCTGCGTAGTTGTCTTCGGCCCCTCGTACGCCTCCCAAATGACCGAGACCCTGTGGTTCCGTGAATGGTAAATACACACATAAATAATCATAATAATAAAGTTCGGTTTTTGTCTCTGAAACCTAACCTAACCACGACTTGGACCATGCTCCCACTACTGGGCGGCTCCTATTTTTATATTTTTTTATATATTTGTTTTGTAAGTAGTATTAAAAATGTATTTTTAGATAATTTTTAAACAAATAACATAACACAATATGACGCGTTTTATCCCAAGGTTGGGGTAGGCAGAGGTGCACATTAATGCCACTGTACAATTTAACACCCACTTTTCATTATTTATGCCTATTGCCATATACTGGGCACAATTCCAGACTCCGTGCTACTATTGAGAATTATTAAAAAGCCCATTAATACACTGCGCGACTCGAGACCCCTTGCCGGACAGTTGCACTTGCGACCACTCGGCCAACGAGGCTGTCAAAATGTCCACAGCTGAATATAGACCTCCGGTGACCTTCAATCTTGCGAATGGAAGCGACCTGCCTACATGAAAATTGATGTCAAACTCAAACTCAAACTCAAAAGCATAATTATATTTCAATTAAACGATAATTTGGTACTTTTGAAACGTCAACAAATATGAAATATATAAGGTGTTAATAAATTTACTCTAGGAAATCTAAGGTTTTGTTGTAACATTTATTCCATAATTAATCACGAAAAAATAATTTAAAAAAAAGCTACCGTTCTAAAGTTATTCCACTATTTGTGTTACACGTAAACAACCTAATATGCGCGCCGTACGGCGTACTAGGCCGTCGACGAAGCCCCGAGCGGCCGCGCTGACGCAGGTGTCGTGGTACCGCGCGCTTATGTTACTACTGAACTTAATAATGTTTCATTTTAATAAACGACCACGCGACTCTGTTTAGATTATGTTATTTAACTGAATTGATATGCTTATAATTAAAATAGCATAGCTACAATGATTAATTATGTCAATTTTTTGAATAGGTAAATACTAATAATAACTCAACCAAAAACCAATACTTCGGTAGTTAGTAGTACTAGTACTAGGTGGTAGGTTGGTAGTTACTTAGGTATTTATCATTTACAAGTATTCATCGGAATAAATGCCCGTCTCTAGATACTTAAGTATTAACAAAGAGTCTACCTTATTTACATAAGATGCTGGAACTTGGAAGTGTCTTCCACTTTGTTCGATGCACAAATTTGTACGACGCGACGTATTACGTTGTTTTTCACTCGCAATAATGTGTCTCTGTCACTTTTAATAATATCAAACGCGTTTATTATGCTTATTTTTAATTCGTCCGCGTTTCTAATCTCACTACCACTGACGAGCTGCAGATACATTTTCGCCACTTCTAATGTACCACATTAACATGTCTAAGTACTTGCGGTTACTGTGCGTAAACGGCATTATTGAATATTGAACAACAAACAATAAAAAATGGCGCGTGCGATTGATCGGACACAACACTGAACGACACTGAGGGCCACACCCTTCCCGCGCGACAGCTATCGGTCAACTGGCGATCGAGAGAGAGAGAAGTGGGAAAGAGAGCGGGGCAACTAGCGAACGGGAGAGAGGGAGAAAGAGAGAGAGATTGCGATAACATGGGGACGGTGACGGCGCGCCATTGCTTCGCTCGGGCCGCAAGCGCAGCCCCACGTACGGTTTGCACAAAAACGTTTAACCAACTCCTTTATTTTTGTTAAAAATAAAAGTTGTTAAAATTGTTAATTTTTTTTTTGCTAAACGTGTCAGTTTATTGATTCCCACCAACCTCATAAAATATTTAGAGCGAATTTATTAACACCTTATATAATAGTCTGTCAGTCTGTCCGTCAGTGAAGCTAGGCGCTCGTTCCAAAATGTCGATTCGAGTGGAGAAGAACGAGCAAGAAACTCCATTCGTTGCTCTTTTAAAAAAAAGTCTGTTTTACATTGCTCTGATACATATTCCAATATTTTACACACATGTGAGAATAATGTAAAGACATACCTGACGCAACATACAAATAACAGAACATACTGAAATAAAAAAAGACTTAATAAACAGCTCGATCGATAATCGAAGCCAAGATGGAATGAAAGTTACAATGTTAAAAAAAGGCAAAGAATTTCCAATATCTCTGTCTACCCCACTTGTAGACAAGCGTGACAAATAACAAGTGAATTTTAACAATTTTAACGAAGATTAATGCCGTAATAACCGGAAAACCGATAATACTAATAAATCAATCCGATCAGTATTCTGTATCAATCAGCATTTCCGTATTAACGCATATTAAACCTTCTTATGGCAAATTAACGTTGATATTCCTATGACAAACTTTCAGTATCGAAGAGTCCAGTATAAATTGATCTCTAACTATCAAGTAAGTCACCGTAATTTGAGGTTAATTTATGCTGGACCATTACTTGAAATGTATTTCATCACATTAGCACATACTAAACCTTCTTATTGTGATGGATTAAGGTTTAAATTCCTATGACAAACATCAGTAACTTTGCTTCATTAACCAGTTTAAACTGTCAAACACCAAGCGGTCACCGGTGACCGCAACCTATTGTTCTATAATTGTGTCTACATAACCGGTACTCGACGAGTTAAGTTGACCTCTAATGAAGAAGTAAGACATTATGATTTGAGGCCAATTTACGTTGGAAGATATAATCTGGTATGTATTTTTTATATATCATTGTGTGTTTACATAGCGTGCAAGTTCTTCATAAATATTACGGGAACAAGACAGTAATATTCATGTATGTGTGATACACACATTCATTATTTTGTTTGTATGATATTTCAGTGCGTTTATTTATCATCGACTTACGCTAACGGCTTTAATCTTCGTTTTTATTTGCAAAAAAAGAACATAACATAAC